TCGAATCAAGTATTACAAAAAAATCTATCATGGATTACAAAAAAATCAAAAAAAAAAAAACCGTACGGACTCGCCGATTTACTGTTCAGACTCGCCGATTCCGTACAGTGAATCGGCGAGTCACTGTGCGAAATCGTCCGATGCTCTCTAGAACCGGACGATTTTCGATTTTTCAACCGATCCGGTCCCTTTTCGCGAATTCCGAGTCGAACCGGGCGAGTCCGGTTCGACTCGACGTTTTTTAAAACGCTGATTTTGATATTCACTTCCTATTCTAATCACCAATTGGTTTTTGTGGGTGTTAGCCGACTAGCTCACCGCTATATATGAGCCCAACAATCTTGGCAGATCTTACAGTCACGACCACTTTTCGTATTTGAATTTTAGTTTTTTTTCTACAAATCCAAATTAGTTTAAATTTTTTGTATGCATTCTTCTCATCAATGCACACTTAATAAACATATTAAAACAACAATTCACAAAACTAAATTGATCGGAGTACCCCTAAAAAATTTTTGGGATATTTTGGTCAGTATATTTTTTGTAAATTAATTTTTTGATTTTTTTTATTAGATTCTTCTATTTTTTAAAGAATACACGCCCAAACTTTCAATTGATTTAGATTTTTATAAAAAAAATAAAAAATAAATAAAAACTTAAAATTCAAATACAAAACGAGGTTGTGACCGTCAGATCGGCCCGTATTCAATCTAGGTCGGTCGTTGGGGTCATATGTACCTGTAAGCTATTGGGCTAGCCTCATCCTTTGCTATATGTGTATATAAGGTTACCTACTTATACTATACAAATAAGGCGTGCTTATAAAATTTACTTAGAGAAGTCATTTTTGTGTCGAAAACCTTATGATGGCTTGAAAATATCTTTTCATCATCAAATATAAAATTTCAAATTTTCAAAATTTGTATAAATCGAGCAAAAGAAGAAACACTTTAAAATTTTGAAAATAGACAGTCCAGATAACTGGTTTCAATATCCATTATTTTTTGAACTTAGAATCTTTTTTTTACTTCATGTCCATTCATCTCGATGTCAAGATGATCACTTTGAGGGTTCTTCAATTCCGGAACACTCTCCTCTGTAGGACTTTTTAGGTACACCTTACTTCAATAGTACAAGGATGCAACCTTATATAAATAGGTAAAAGCTGAGGTTATCCCAATGGCCCAGATTGAATCTGGACTAATCTGATGGTCACGACTTCATTTTGTAATATAATTTTAATTTTTTTACAAATATTTATTAAATGAAATTTTAAACTTCCATTTTTTAATATTAAAAAAAAAATCGTAAAATATAAATTGACTAAAATACCCTTAATATGTTTGGAGGTATTTAGTCAATTTATTTTTTAAGGATTATTTTTTTGATATTTTATTAGATTCTCCTATTTTTAAATAGTATATTTTTAAAATTTCAATTGATTTTGATTTATAAAAAAAATTAAAATTCAAATACGAAATGCAATCGTGACCATTGAATTGGCCCATATTGTTGGGCTAACACTATGGCATTAGCTAGTGGGCTATCCTTAGCTTTATATATATACATATAGGGAAATGATGGGATTAGCCCACTAGCTCATATGAACATATGAGCTTAACAGCCCAGATTGAATCTGGGCCGATCTGATGATTACGGATATCCAGTAGTGCTTGAATTTTATTTACTTTTCTATATATCCAAATTACTTGAAATTGGTGTGTGTTCTTCTCATTAAGGCTGTAACAACCCTAAAATTTGTGGAATTAAAACATAATATTAATAGTGTCGATAGAAATAAACATAAAAATAAAAATAAAAATAAATAAATAAATAAATAAATAAAATAAAATAAAACAAAATGCTTATTGACGAACTTAGATTACAAACTCCGATAGTGTTGTGCTTTAACAAAATATTTCAAACCAATTAGTATTATTTTTGTTTAAATTGGTACTAGTCTACTTTTATAGTGTAGACCTTATGGTCTACACTTCCTTTTCACTATCTTTTATATTAAAAGAGATGTTTACCACCTTACGTTGCAACCCAACAAACCACGTTCATATAGTTAAGACACCTTTTAAAAAAGGTGTTGACATTTTAAAAGCTCTCTCTGATGCTATACTCTCTCTCCCTCTCATAAAAAGGTATTTTAACTTTAGAAAGTCTCTCTCTTATACCTCTCATCACACTCTTGCTTGCACTGCTGCACCTCACGTTCTGTCTCTCTCTAGACCTCTCACAATCCTTGCCCTGCCCTGCCTTTTCTCTTTCATGGCATTAAGCTTCATGGCCTTTCTGGTTTGGAGTGAAAACCCTGTAAATAGTTGGGTCGCAGATAATAATGAAACTAGCCTTTAAATACATTACTCATGGCTGCCATTGGGTTTCAGCCATGAAAACAATTTTGCTTTTCTTTTCAAGATTTCAAGAAGATTTTTTTTATCGGATAGTCATAGTAGCTTTAAGAGTGAAGGTATCATTTCTTGTGGTTTTATTAATGGCAAATCTATCATCGCGTCTTCTTCCTGGTTATGCACTGTGCCTAATCCCTGTATTGCCAAGAGGCGGCAAACTGTTACCTATGGTTTAAGAAACGGAGCAAAGACTCTAAAAATGGAAAGAAATTGTTACCTATGGTTTAAGGAACGGAGCAAAGACTCTAAAAATGGAAATGGTTTCCGCAATTCCTCGTCTCAAAGTGACACATAGGTAAGTAATCGCATTCTTCTGAAAAATAGTCAGTTTTCAATAAAATAGTGATATTTCTATCCAACATCTTTATTTTATTAGTTTTATGTGTAAGTGACATCATCTTCCTGAAAAATAGTCTGTTTTTAATAAATTGTGATAATTTTATTTAATTTTAGATTCTCCTAAAAGTTCGTCTATTGATACTAGACTATTATCATGTTAGATTTCAAGAATGTCCTTCAGAACTGTTACCTTTTAGAAATTATTGCACAAAATGTTTAAATGGCTACTTAGAGATATTTCAATAGAAGTGATTGTTATTAAAATTGCTTCAAGTAAATTCATGTTACTGTTATCAATGGTACTTCGCATATATGATATTGTTGCTTTCTGATGTTTAAACGAGTTTCAGAGATAATTTGAGTATAAGTGGACCTGCAGTGATCGTTAGGACCTATCCGAGATGCCGGTGAGGTATGATCAGACCTATAAGGATTGTTAGGACCTATCTGGTTATGCCAGTAGGGACTATTTGGACTCATCAGGGACGCCGGTGAGGTATGTTTGGACCTGCAGGGATTGTTTAGACCTATCCGGTAAGGGCTATTTGGACTCATCCGATACACCGATGAGGTATGTTTGGACCCATCAGGATGCTGGTGGGATATATAAGTGACCTACTTGGGACGCCAGTAGGGTATTTTGTGAAATCCTTTTAATTATGCATCTCTGTTAAAATGTTTATATGCATTTCAATCATTTGGATTATGCTAAATTGTGAAATTTTAAAGAGAAACTATTATCTATAAATGTGTTTACTAGCATTGTTTGTAACAGATATCCCTTTTTGAAAATGTTTATATCTTCCAACCATGATTATTTTTAGGACTATAATGATCACTTACTGAGTAGCCAAACTCACCAAACTATAGTAAATATTTTCAGGGTAATTGCAATCTCATAGTTCGAATGCAGCAGGACCATCTTTGAAGAATTTGTAAGCATGATTGACATTCCCCTTGTAACTTTTAGTCAAATGAACCATTGTAATTTTTTTCTATCAAAAGATATATATTTATATAGCCTTTTATGTTAATATCAGTTGTGGGCAGACTTTGTACAGATTAAAAGAAATGGAAAATTTGTTTTAGTGCGAATATATCAGTAGAAATTTTAAATTTGTTCTATATATAAATAATATAAGAATAGTATGTCTCACCTCAGGAATGTTAGTAAACTTGGGGTGTAACAAAGGCACACCTAATTAAAATATGAAAAAAAATTATTTGTGAAAATAATGACCAAAATAGCCTCCAAATATTTTTGGGGGTATTTTGGTCAATTTATTTCATATAAAATAGTTTTTTTACATTTTTCAAGCATTCATCTATTTTTTGATGAACACGCGCCTAAAATTTCAAGTGATTTAGATTTGTAGAAAAAAATTAAAATTCAAACACTACCGGACATCCGTGATCATCAGCTCGGCCCAAATTCAATC